TGAGTTGTGCCTCTTTTGAATACGGTATGCGATATATAGAACACCTTTCTGTGTAGGCGGCCTTGCGCCGCGCATAGGGATTATAACCCTCACTAAGTAGAATTCTCCTTTATGTGTTGCCGAAGAAGAGGGGCGTAGAACACCTTTTGCAGATAACACCTTTCTTTATTTTGTGGTTTGATTTGTCGACCAAATGAAAAATAAAATTTATTTGTGATTTGATGCGGATAATTTAATTCTGCAAATCAAAAAATTAAATTAGGCCGTGCGGGCATAATTCATTTTGACAAGTGAAATTAGGCCGCGATCAAAAAAATGAAACTAGGCCGCCAAACAAATAAGAAGGCGGCCTTAATTCACGCGGTCAAAATTCCATCCCCCCCTGTGAGGCATATTTTCATATTGTACTCGACCGTACCAACAACCTACACTAAATTAAGTTTCGGATGCACTTCGTGATTATTATTTTTTTGTTGGCCCGTGTAATTAACAATTCAACGCTAAAAGCAAACTAAAACATATTAATTTGTGTGCAAACAAATTTTAATTAGTAAAAAACAAAAAATTGTATTTTGAGCAACGTGGCGTATGAGTAACCCAAAATAATGTGAGGGACACTCTCAAATCAATAAACTAATTTATTTAAAGTGATCACATTTTTCTGACCTCAACTGTATAGCCAGCCTGTTTTACAGCAAGTCGTTTTAGAGCTCGGAAATGTGCAGTTCATTCAACTAAATTCACAATATTAATAAAAGGCATTGAAATTTGTCCATACACGTGTCGTTGCTATGTATTTACAAGTGTGTATTCGGTATTTACATACGTACATATGTATGTACATCTGTATGTGAATAAGTGTCGTTCGATGTACAGAGGTGTCAACATTTTATTTTTCCAACGCCACTAACTGTCAGTTTTTTTAAATTTATAATGGGCGGACTAAAATTATACTTGAATAATACATGCTAAATTGTACATATGTATGTGCATACATATACATACTTATTTACATATGTATGTATATACAGATTTACATATGGATGTATATACAGTCAGTCATTAATGTTTAGGTACAGCGAATTTTTTACAATACGGGCAACCATTTTTTAAATATTTTATTTTTTGATAATTTTTTATAAAAATATGGTCAATTCTACAACAAAAAACCCAAAAATCAGGGTTCCAAACCTTGTGCAAAATTAAAGAAAATTCCGCAAAATTTCATTCAAATATTGCACTTTTTATTTACGCTCTCTAGAAAGAAGTTGAGTATGCAGTTTTTTAGTCCATTCAATTTTAGTAGTGCAAGTTTGTGGTGGCTAGGACTTACCATTGATTTTTAGGAATTTTTTTGTTGAAGGTGTCGCTCATTTTCTCCATATAAAATAAAGTTTGATAATTTTTTTATATGGAAAAAATGTCCGACACCTTCAACAAAAAAATTTCCCAAAAATCAATGGTAAGTCCTAGCTTCCTCATACTTGCATACTCAAATTTTGTCTAGAGAGCCTATATAAAAAGTGCAATATTTGAATGAAATTTTGCAGAATTTTCTTTAATTTTGCACAAGGTTTGGAGCTTTCCTTTTTGGGGTTTTTGTTGTAGAATTAACCATATTTTTATAAAAAATTAGTGAAAAATAAAATATTTAAAAAATAGTTGCCCGTATTGTAAAAAATTCGCTGTACCTAAACTTTATTGACTGACTGTACATATGTACGTATTTTTTTTAATTTTATACTATTTATAAAAAAAACAACAAGAATAGAAAAATCATTTCTATTTAAAACAAAACTTCCGACAAGTGTTTATTAACCGACTAAAAATAAAGGAGGTGGTTATCAATTTGTCGGAACATTTTTTTTGTATGTATGTCACTCTGGGTTATATGAATGGAAAAGATGGTACCCGTGGGAGGTGGGAGGTCCCGATAATTAGATCTTGGATAACTCACGGTGCTCCTAAATTTCTATATTAGCATTAAAGTGAGTTGTGTTTTTTGCTTAAAAACATTTGTTTTCATTAAGGTTTTAAGAAAGAATGTAAAACCCTTCCAATTAATTAACTGTACCTAAATTATCAATTTTTACTATTTACCTACATACCTATCTAAAATTTTGGTTTCTTTAGAGTTGTTATACAACTTTATAAAGAGTCAAGTTCTTCAGCTACGATTCTTTTCATAACATACCCTGGTTTTTAATAAACATAAACATGAAAACTAATTTTTTGGTTTTAAATTCGATTAAGTCTTTAGTGAGTAATCTACCGACTTGTGTACAGAGCTGGGTTGCGGTACAATATGAGTTAGGACCTTTCTATATTAAGGGAACGATATGTGTTGTGGCGACTTTTAACACATTGGTCCTCATGCATAAACAGTGAGCTTAAGCTCAGACTCAATTTTTGATATGAGTTCAAGCTCAAGAATTCGTACTGAAACTCGAGTCTGAGCTTAAACTCACTTCTTATGCATGAGGCCCATTGTGCAACTATATTTTAATTTTTGCGCTTCCTTGACTCTTCCGCATGAGAGCTTGTGGTATATTTTATAATGCCGAATCTATTTAAAAGATTTAAATTATTAGCAACATGCTAATGCGAAAATATTAATCATCATACTTTTTAGAAATTTTATATACTACTATATTATTTTTCGCAAACATGTTGCTCCTTGAAGTGAAAAACTACATACAGAGATAAGTACATACAGTAACTCAAACAAATGACCACTTTTTATCCGTGTACACGATAACTCGAGCAAAAAATTGAGATATCTCAACGAAATTTGGTATGTAGGTTTCCATTAATCCAAGGTAGGTTGGTATTGAAAATGGGCGAAATCGGACTGTAACCACTCCCACTTCCCATATAACGGTAATTTCCAGAAATACGAAAACTGCGATATTTTAGTAACCACTGAAGATAATTCACTCAAAATTGATATTTACAATAATTTTCAGATGAAAAATAAGAATATTATAAATTTTTGGAAAGTGGGCGTAGCCACGCCCGCTTATGGTTTCATGTGTATACCTTGGTAACCGCTGCACCAATTTCTTCCAAACTTGGCACAGTTATTGGCCTTGGTACAATAACTACGCCCATATCCCATATAACGGTAATTTAGAAAAATACGAAATCCTCGATAAATCAGTACATATTAAAGCTAATTTATTCAAAATTGATGGTTGCAACAATTCTTTACCAAGAAATATGTTTATGATAAAATGTTGGAAAATGGGCGTGGCACCGCCCACTTGTGATCATATATATGTATGTATCTCGCTAACCGTTCTAGCAATTTGTACCAAACTCGGTATGGTATTCTGCTTGCCACATAAAACCAAAATGTTGAAAATTATTGAGATCGGACTAAAATTACGGCCGCTTTTCATATAACGGTAAATTTGAGAAATGCTTGAAACTTCAATATTCGAAACTTCGAAATTTAAGGACGCTAATTTACTCAAAATTTATACATCCCGGCTTACCATGTAGCGGTAGCTTTCGGAAAGATGAAAATCATATATGTAATATTTGCGCCGGGTATTTAATGTTCGGCTCCGCCCGAACTTAGACTTTCTTACTTGTTACTTCTACATTTCTATGTGAGCCTGCAGTTTCAATAGTGTTTTTAATGCAATCTTGCCAACAGCAGTGTTTTCTGCATACACTTGCAGCCAGAACTCGCTTGGCTCCCTTCGTAGTATTTAAAATTCAAAGTTCAAAAAGGTTATCAAAAACTTAAATTGTCATCTCTGTAGGTTTCTTTTTCGGGTCACATGAAAACGGGTTTTTGTTATCCAGCTGTAGACATCTTCAGAGTCAATGTTGGGAAAATATTCAACAATAGTTTTTTCTAAACCTTCCAAGTTAACGTTGGTAATGCGCGTTAACGCTTAGAAAATAACTTTTACAGTCAATTTCACGAAAGCAATTTAAGTGAAAAATTATTTTAATTTTTTGAATTTTATATGGAAATTGACAGAAAATAAAAAATCATTTTCCATTTAAATTGCTGGTGAAACCGGCTGTTAGCTATTTTCTTTGTTTTACTTTGTTTATTTGTGGGGGTTTCATGCAAATTTCTAGAAATTCTAAAATATACATACATGTCACCAAAAAAAAAAAAATCTCTGTTATCTTCGCAGCGTCATCCAATACAGGTTTCAAATCTAGTGGCGGCATCTTCTCCTAGTCGCCAGCGAAAATATCGACGGATCAGAAAAATTGAAAAATATTTAAAGTTGTGACTGGTGAGACATCTCCTTTTGACTGGTGCATGAAAAAATTACAACTCCTTTTGATTTTTTTTTTAATATTTTCCCAAAGGTTAATGAAATGTAGTCATTTAAAAAGAGGTTACTACTAAAATGGGGATAATTAGGGCATATTTAAATTTATGTCGTTATCCTCTTTTCAAATGCAGTCCTTAACAATAACTTGCATTGAAAAGGTTGACATATCGATGGTCCTCTGCAATAACGACATAACTCAACATTTCATGCACATATCACATCGACAATATCACTTTTTCTGCGAATACCACCTGGCTTGGCTTGGCTTGATTTGAATATAACTTCTTTTTATCGTATTTCGCTCCACACCCTTTGCTGCTTTGACGGTTGAGAGGTCGCATCCTCATTAACAGCCATATGTGTGTATAAGTGTAAGGCTTATAAATAAGTAGATATTTAATTTGAATGTATAAACTGCACTAATAATAATTTCCAATATGAACATGCCAATAAGTTGTAATGTAATGTCTTGTAATGTGTAGTCAATTAAGTAGTCATTCCATTACGTGCTTAAAAGTAATAAATTTCATTCTTATTGATATTGTTTGTATTCATGCATATATAAGTTATGCATATATATTTACTTACTTACATATGTACCAATATTTGTATTGTATTGTATATCACAATTATTCCTCTTCTCTTTCTTAAAACTTTTATACTTCTTTTGTTTGTTTTTTCTCTTTCTAATTTTAGATTGTGTTTTATTGCATATTTTGGTTGGTTGGTGGTTTGTTTTTGGTTGATAAACATTTGTTGCAAGCATTTGGGCCAATGCAAGAAAATAATGTATCGTAGTTCATATCTACAACCTTTTTGTTTGGGAATTTACACAGAGTTGCAACTACAATACTACTACTAAACCCACAGTCTCATGTGTGTGTGAGTGCTGTTTGCTATGCATTTTGGCGCTGGGAATCATGCGGGCGAACGCACAACGCACAATCAGCTGGCGTAACGAAATTTTACCACATACTACTACATATCTAATATTTATATACATACATACATGTGTACATACATTTAATTTTTACTGCATATAAGTAGTAGGCAATAATCCGAATTAACTTATTGATTGCTATTACCGTCAACCTAATATGCAGGACATGCATATATGTAGACTTCCTTAACATAGTATGAAATTCTCCTATATACATAAATATATAAAAAAAACTTAAATTGTATCTTTACGTACTGTATCTACAACTATTAACTACCACAACCACTTGCAATTTATGTATGTTTAGTGTCATCTGCTATTAATACTTACTCGTATTTTGTACACATCTTTACTTACATACGTACTTGCATACATACATACATACATACATAAAATATATCCCATTCTGTGTATTCTTGCATAATCTTTTATAAAGTATATAAGTGCAGATATGTAATTAGTAGTGAGCACATATTTGGTTGTGAGTAGGTGTGCGTTGAGTGGATCTTTAAAAAAGTATACAGTTTTAAGGCTGGTATGCAGCTCTCAAGAAATCGGTCAAGAAAAATTTGCCATTATTTCGTGTGTGTATCCAAGGAATTTTGACATTTTTGATACTTCACAGCCTGTTGCCTCACTCTTTCCTCAAGAAATAATGGAACGGGCATATATTTCTGTTGCAAACCTGGGTTGCCTTGTGCTCGTTTTTCACAAAAAAACTTTAGAAAACCGTAGTAAAAAGCGTAGCAAATTTCTTAAGAACTGCGTACTGTGTGAAGGAAATTTGACTCAAGAAAATTTCTTAGCCATTTCTTGTACGTCATTTTGTATGGAATTTTAGCTTTTCTTGAGAACTGCATACAGGCCTTTAAGGTGTACCTTCCCTAACGGATAAAATATATATACCGTCTTGCTGAGAAAATTATTCTGATTAAAGTAACGAAATGTCCTATATATCTCTGAATTTGACGTGGAATATTTTTTAACAAACACAATTAGAGCATTTCTGAAGATATCACTGACGGTGTTTGTTTATGGTTCATCGTATCAAGATGGAGCAAATATCGTTTCATAGAACTTTTCTAATTAATTGCAGTGGAAAGTATTACTCTACAAGTTATAATTATCGCATAATTATTTGTTGAAATGTTTGGCCGAGTTTCTCCTCCTTTACTCCAACTTTACGTCGCCTCCAAATGGCCAATGGTTTCATTATAAGCTTTTTTAAATTTTAAGAAGTAAATTGTGCATAAATAGCTCTACCTTCTGCCTTTGATAATCTGGATGGCATTGCATTTAAAAAAAAAATAGCCGTAACCATTAAGCACAACAGGCAACTAATCCTGGGTCGAGCTGTCATTTTACTGCGAAATGGAAAATTAAAAAAAAAAACACCCTCTCTCTGTTTGTATTTGTTAGCTATTTCAAAAAAAATGGTTTAATAAAGTGGGCCGAAATTTCAAAAGTACCTGAAATTGCTAATACTAAGTATTATCCATTGTCAACAACTCACCCAAGAATACTCAAAGAAAAATTGCGTATTTTTTTTTTTATTTAACGCGGCACATTATTTCTCTTAATATAATTTTGTATTTATGCAATCAATAACTATTAGTTTGTAAGCTTTATGTGCATAATAACGTATGTGTGTGTATATGTACTTACACAATAATTCTAAATATGTAGGTACTGCAATAGTTTTTTTGTTTAATACTTACTACAATTGAATGAATCTTGCATACAGTCATGTGTACAATACTAAGACCACCAAACAAAATCCTGATGGTTCGTTTTTTGAACTGTCAGAACATAAATACAATATTGTGTTTAATAAATATTTGAACTGAAATTGGTTTCATGTAATGCCTGTAGTATTTTCTGAATTCAAAACTATGTACATACATACATACATATTCATAATGCTGACAATTTAAGCTTCCCGCTAAGTTAAAGTAATCGCTCTTCCACTTAAAAAAATTATACAATAACTTCGGAAGCGAAAGAAAAGAAAATCAAGCAAACTTTGTTTCCTTGTTATCCTCACTAATAAACGAAGGCAACTAAATTATACGATTTTTTATTGGCTTGAATAATTTTCAGGTCAAAAGAAATACTTATGTACATATATATATATATATACTCAAGGAGAAAACTCTGAAAATATAATAACTTGATGGCAGATAAATTTGATTAAAATTACTGTTGGTTGCTTATTGATTGATGAAATAAGCTCTTAGTTTTAAGCTGCAGTTATTATTCAAAGCACCTTTTTTGTGGTCTTAATATTTTACAGATGTATGTATGTATAAACTAATAAATAGCATATTCGGTGGTGTAAATTAATTTTTTACTGCACTTCAACTGCGCTTTGACATCCACTTCATGCTGAACAGGACAGGATTTTTTCGTTAAAATAAAATTAAAAGCTAATGGTTTGCAAATTATCTTAGAAATTTTAATTAGAGGCAATAAAATACTAAAATTATGTAATACCAAAAGAAAATGCCACTTCCATGTGATTTATTTGTTTATAATATTATTTGCTTGCGTTCGAAAAAAATCAATTTACCAAGTTTTTACATAAATACGTACACGTATAAATGTAAAAAGTTTTATAATAAAAAATAACTAGGTGCATACCCAGCCAAAACTTTTCTTTTTTTTTGGTAAGCGTCTACTTTTTGTATCGATGAAGTAACGCAATGTACAATACGCCTCAGGACAAAATTTTTGTGTTTTTACAATTTCTCGTAATGTGTTGTGTAAACTAGACTACCTTAACCTGGGCATGTCATTGGAGGTAAGCGAGAAATTGTAAAAATGCAGTCGGTAAACGAGAAAGTGATAATTTTTTCTTGAGGCGTATTGTAATGCGTTACTCCACCGATACAAGAAGTAAGCGCTTACCAAAGAATCAAAGTTTTTGCTGACTAACTAATTTGACAAGTTTGAACTTTATAGGAGAAGCAAACAACTTTTTAAATGTACATAGTAAATGCTTACAGAGTAGTTCTACGGATGCTAATAAATCTCGTATTTTTTATGATATGCTTTCAATTTTGTTATAGGGAGGGTTGTATCTGAGTGCCAATTAGCGGAATTTCAAAAAACCACATTTCCGACAAATGTCAATAGGAGCTTCAATGATGACAATATTCACACTACTACTACTTTGATTTGATGTGGAAAACATTGCTTCGAACGTCTATATGTATGTACATACATGTGTATGTACATAGTTAATTCACAAACGTCCTAACCAACAAATTTTATAAAAAGAGTATCAAAAACAGTTAGGGCTTTTTAAAGAGCGGCATGTAACTCCGTTGTTTTCGGTACTAACACTTTAAAATTTTTATTGAAGGTTTATCTATAGCTGAGTATGCAGAGGTGCTTGTTGTTGTTTGTTAGCTTATTAGAAGATCCCTGGTTCGAATGTTGTGAGATGTAATATTTTGAAAGCATAATAAACAATTTTGTTATGCATTTCCGAACTATGAAAAAGCATATGCTCATATGTACATATATGAAGCGCAGAATGAAAACGTATCTATTTAAACAGAAAAATCGCCAAACAAAGCAGCTAAACTAAAGAAAAGATCGGCTGGCGCAAAATCACACGTGTTTTAGTTTGCTCGAGGCCCAGCAATCAAATAAAACGCAAATCTTCGTTGTATTGATATTTTCATTGTCGACATTTCGACCTAAATCTGAGATCATCTTCACGAACTCTTGATTGTGTCTGGTCGACAAATATCGACAATTAAAATTTCAATAGAACGAAGATTTGCGTTTTATTTAATTGCTGGACCTCGAGCTTGTTAAAAATGGTTCATAATTAAAAATTCAAAGGCCAAAAACAAAAACAAAATATATTTTATTTCTAATTATGGCGTTATTCGCAAACGAACGATATTTTACCCCACTAATAGCATATGTATGTGTTCACATCAAAGGAGCTCTTACCAATACTCAGGGTTGTAAGTAAAAGTTTTTGTCCTTTTAAATACAAATTTCGTTCCATTTCGTTCCCATATACAAAATTTAAAATCATGAAATTTTCCTACATATGGCGATTTAAAAAGTGTTTTTTTGTTTCTCCTGTAAAGTTCATATGTATAAAATTTTAAAATTTAGGGCATTTGGTATTAATGACGCCGATTACGCTGTAATGTAAATCCCAAGTTTTGAAATGACATAAAAAAAGGCCGAAACAGTTTACGAGTCTAGCCGTTTTTGTGTGCCATTTTAGCGTTCGAACAGTGTTGTTATGTATGTATGTATGTATGTTGTTTTTTGGCATTAAAAATAGCAACAATCATTTATTTATTTATTTGCATAACTCAATGGCCTTTTTGTATTTACTAAAATGTGTTTATGTATGTTCGTTATTAGCTAAATTTTATACATACATATGAAAATTGTATAACACGCATACATTTTGAAATTCCGTTATCTGTAGGTGTTCTTGTGCGAAAAAATAGCTTTAGATGTTGTACAAACTACTTATATATACACCTTTATATACATATATGTATGTATGTATGTGTTTATATAAAATGCATAGCTATCTGTGATGTTTTACAATAACATTTCTTAGTTTAAGTTTACTTAGTAACTAAATAAGAATGAATATAAAAAAAAATTAAAACCAAATTTTCCACCTTTTTCAAATGGAATTACGTACTTTCGTCCACACTAATTGTTTATCTGCTGCAATAGCATATAAATATTGTATAATGGTAGCTGAATTATTAAATATTTGCATAAGAATAATAACAAATTATATCTATTTGCATAAGCATTTCGAATACGCAAACAAAATACTACATAGTTCATAAAGAAAAGCACATAATAAACGCATTTGATTATTTAAAAAAAAACAAAACATAAACGTAAAATTCTGTATTTGTTGTTTCTTATTATCGCTATGGCTTTTTGATTTTTTGTATTTATGTATGCATGTACATACATTAGACTATGTCAAATAAAAAAAAAAAAAAAAAAAAATCCTGCAATGCGACCGGAATGAGACACAAATGTTAGCATTTAGTATAGTAATGATACTCCACAAG